TAAGGCACTAACTTATAACTTGACAAACCAGCGACAACTGAAAAATTCTTTACATCTCCTAATTGCATTTGGTAAACACAGAAAGGTTTTTTACGGTTTACATTTTTAATAGCTCTTTCTAGCCCAAGTGGACTAAATATTTCTGCAGCAGAGAGGGATTTTTCAATCTGACTATGAATGTTGTCACATTCTTGAATGGTGGAATGACCTGGCTCGCAGAACTTCTGTTCAATTACTTTTATTTGTGGGTATCGTATTATAAATTCACACAAAGCTGCTGACATGAAACTATTGCTGTTTTGTGGTACACATGAATCGAACCAAAGTATGAATTTATTTATGTCAAGGTCAGCCATGATTTTCAAAAGCAAACATATTACAGCACTGGCTAGATCATTTCCTCCATGACCAGTCATGGCTTCGTGCCAAAGGATGCAATAACCCTTCTTGTTAAGCGAGCAATGACCAGTTAAGTTATAATTTGAAAGTTTTCGTTTGTAATAAAAGTTTCCCACATTAGCTCTAGGCAAATTTAAAACATTTTCAAGGTCAATACAAACAATTGCAGTTTTAGAATCAACATTTTGGCGATCATTTTCACATTCAGTTTTGGTATCATTCCTTGATTTTATGTGCTTATTATAACTATCTGTTTGTTCATTGCTTGCATTAACAATGTTGCGATACTCATAGCATGTGTCACATAAATCTTTCTTCGGTTTTTGAAATTCTATATTGAACTCGTGATTAAAGATATAACGATACATATGTTCTTTTGCTGGAGGAGAGACATTTTCATCACAATATATTTTATAAAGATCATACATTCTACCTATATTTAGTGATCTTTCCATGTATTCTTTATGTGTCTTTTTCCTGCTATAATGAGCATCAATTCTTGGGAAAAGGTTAATATGGTCTCGTACAACTTGTTTAGACTCTTCTAGTAACCTTTTTTTAACATGTTTCCCTGATTTTGATTGCAATGGTGTTCCAGTAGTTAAAGATTTATTAAACTTATGAAAGTAAAACACTCTATGGCTGCTAATATTTAATGTTGAAAGATAATATGATTTACAAACTCTATATTGTGTATTAGAAACGAAAAAGCTATAATAATAAGTTTTTCTTCTTGAATTGTCACCAGCAGCTGTCCGACAGCGTTTTTTCTCCAGATTTTCAGTAGTTTTAGAATAGAAATGTTTTTTTCCGTCATCATCTAAGGTCCAAAAGTTATCAAATATTATTTGACGCTCAATCTCAGATATATTGGTAGAACATTTAAATTTACAATTTCTGCAACTTTTTAGTGCAACAATAGATCTTTTTGGCATTTGTTCTCCTTTCATATTTTTATAAGCTTTACCCGACTGACGTTGGATTTTTCTTACACTTTGTTTCCAACTACTCCTATCAGCTTTACGTTTCCTAGAAACCCCACCATGGGGCGACCGACGAGAAGGTGTAATGCCAAGCAGCTCTAACGATTAAAATATTAATTTTTTATTATCCAGGATGTATAAATAATAACTTTTAAATTTAATCTAAAATGGCACAAGCGAAAGTCGAATTCTAGTTTTCCAAAATTATAATACAAATTAAGTTGAAAAACTACCTTCGTTTTGATTTAGGGCAGGTTCCATTTCTTGGTCAATATTTACAGTTGCCATTTTGAAAACAACAAAACTGATAAAATTATTCCGAACAACTTTGTAATTGTAATATGATTGGTTGATTGGAGATAGAACAAGATAATATTTTCAAGTTTGCTCATTAAGGAGATAGAACAATGCAATATTGCATGCAATACCGTGTTAAAAGTTTCATTTTTTTTCAATATAATTAAAGTAGAACAACACAATGCTAAAATATTCGAAAATAATAAAATCTCAATTTTTTCAAAAATTGGAGATAGCACAAGATAATTCTAACGTCGCGATATATAGAACTTTTACATTAGCAAATCTTTAAATATAAATAGTTGTTAACAACAAAACTTTAGGTAAAAAATAATAAAAATTTAAATAATAGATAAATTAATTAATAGTACTCTAAAATGTTATCGAGGGAAAAAATTAGATTTTTAATTTTGTTTTTAAAAAGACAAAAAGAATTTGGTCGATCAAAATCAACATTAGGTAAAACAAGTTTATTCCATAGGTGCGGTGCACGATAGGCAAGACAAAATTGATTAAAATTTGTTTGACAAAAAGGTTCGTTAAAAATTTTTTTTCTTTTAAGAGTGTATTTGTTGCTGGGTTTTAAACTAAAAAAATCTTTAAAGACTGGGGGGGGGGGGGGGGGATAGATTGTTTTTCCACATTAAAACAAAGCATAAAATTTTTAAAACGTTGAGTTCAAATACATTTAAAATTTTCATCTCAATAAAATAAGGTTTACAATGAGAAAAACGATCAGCAAAGTTAATTATGCGAATTGCTCGTTTCTGACAGCGATAAAGACAAAAGTAATTTACTTTTTTCAGTACTTCCCCAGGCAATATTAGCGTAGTTTATGTAGCAGTGAATAAATGAGAAATAAAGTTGCCTTAAGTGTTTCTTATTGAGATAAGTTCGAGCTTTGTACAAAACTCCAATGTTTTTAGAGACTTTAGTGCATATATAGTTAATATGTTGATTCCAATTAATATTCTCATCGAGATAAACACCTAAAAATTTAATAACGGAGTCTCATTTTATTTCAATTTCATCAATAAAAATTGGAGGCAAGTTTAAGGGTAAAATTTTTTTTTTCCTATTCGAATGAAAAAGAGTCCATTTAGTTTTGTCAGTATTTAACGTTAATTTGTTGGATTTGAACCAGTGGGATAAAAGTTTAAGTTCTTTATTCACTGTGGCAAAAAGCTCGCTAATATCGCTCTTAGAGATGAATAAATTAGTATCATCAGCAAACATGATGCTCGTCAGATTAGTTGCTTTATTTAAGTCGTTTATATAAATTAAAAAAAGGAAAGGTATATAATATAAAACAATTTATTTTTAGTGTGGCTTTACCTTACACTTCTTCCATAGTGTAAATTTAATACCTCTTTTAATGGCCGAGTTGGCCATTAGTCTGATATCATTTTAAAAGTACTAATGGCATATGTTAAACTTTGAAAAAAACTTTGAATATTATCTTTAAACAAAAGATGCAAATAAACTCAATTATATTTTTATTAAAGAAACAAATTGCCTAAGTTTTAATGGTACACTGTTTATTAGGCATTAGGTGTCCATTGCAGTGTCTTGCAGAAGAAAAAAACAACAACAACAACAAAAAAAAGGCTTGCAAAAAAAAATACTTGCAAGTATTACAAATATTAGCTACATGGAAAAGCACAAAATAACGATTTTACATTTTGCACATAACAAGTTTTAATTTTTGATAAAAGCCTTTTATCTGCTACCTTTTTGATTTTTTTAAGCATTTCCAATATTCAAAGAGTTTCCACAGAATACCATTATGAACAGGGATGTAGCATTTTTTGATGTTTGAGAAACTAACTTCCAGACATGAAGCGAACTTAAAAAGTTCTGTTTATATTTAGGGGGCATTCATAAAGTACGAACGCAATAAAAAAAACTGATTTAGGACCTTCCCTTCTCCTTTGTGCGCAACTTTATGTTTTTAGCGACTCCACTACCTACGTACGTACACATTGTTTATTAAAAAATAGACCCCCTTCCCTCTGTGTAACTAACGGTTAGTTGATGTATATTCGTTTCGCTTCGCCTATCCTTACTATTTTTAATTTTTTTTAACTTGTGAAATTCATTGCTTTTGTTTAAATCCCCCTACCCCTGTACGCATTGTTACGTTCTATACGATAACCCCTTAAGAAGTTATGCAATAAATTTTTTTGTGAAAATAAAGTAAAATAGCAAAACTTTTACTAATTTTTCGGGCGAAACAATATTTTTTTGAAAGGTATATTCAATCCAATAAAACATAAAAAATTACAAATAAATTTTGTAAATTGAATTAAAGCATAAATAAAAAAATCGTAATATATATATATATATATAATATATATATATATAAAATATATATATATATAATATATATATATATATACATATATATATATAAATATATATATATATATATATATATATATATAAAATACTATATGCACAAATCAACATTTAAACACAAGGGAAAACAAAATTTTGGGTTGATATTAAGTCTCAGTACATTATGCCTAGATGATTTTACGAGCTTTTATAGCGGAACAAGTCACTAGAAGTAATTTGTTTGACGTAAATTCAATTAAATCTCTTCTGATCATATATTATATTTCATTATTAATTATTTAAACAGTTAAGATTTTTTTAAACGATTGTCAGAAAACTTAAAATTTTTCCTAACTTCACGTGCAATGTCTCATGCTATGCTAAATTTAGAAGATAGAAATTCGAATTATTTTGAGCTCGCTATACAAACACGTTTTTGTTGCACAACTAATAATAATGTTTTCAGTTTCTTTTGGATGATATTAAAAATTTTCATACATACATACATATAGAAGCTGTGCGCCACTGTATACATGTATGTATGCAAGGCCGGTGCAAATTGTTGAGTGGGGAGAAAGTTGGAGGGAAAAGGAAGGAGGAGGCGCCTTGCCGAACAGAGAGATATATAGTCCAATTTTTCCCACTGTATCTGAAAAAAGATTCCAATTTGCCAACTAATGGTGAAAATATTCATTGAATGAAGTAGATAGAGAGAGAGAGAGAAAGAGAGAGGGAGGGGGGTCCTCGACCTGCTTCGCGTTGGCTTGTATCTATGTATGTATATATATATTTATGTATGTATGTATGTATGTATGTATGTATGTATGTATGTATGTATGTATGCATGCATCTATATATATATATATATATATATATATATATATATATATATATATATATATATATATATATATATATATATATATATATATATATATATAATATATATATATATATATATATATTGCTTATTGAAAAAATCAATTAAAATTTAATTCCATCCTCGAGAAAATGTTTCAGTTTGCTCCTGCAGCAACTTCTCTTTGTATAAATTAATATCTAATGGAAGTTTCTTTATTTCCAACAGATTGTTACTGCGAATGTCTACTAAATTAACATCAGTTGTTGCAGAGATCTTAGACAAAGTATTTATTGATTGATTAAGGGTAAGCACATCTAAATGAGTCTTTAAACCTAAATTGAAAACAAATTAAATGTTTAACATGAATACAAAACATACAGTACATTCAAAATAGCAAAAAAGTAAACAATATTGTTAAAAACTCTCATTTTAAATTCTAAAAGTATTGCGCCTAAGTTATTCCTTTTATTATTATTTCAGTTACCAGATTGCGACGTTAGAATTATCTTGTCTTAAATCCATGTTTTTGACAATTATAAAAATCGATGTCAAAGTTTGAGTTAGTTGGCTGCTAAACTAAAAGTTTGAGTTGGCTGCTAAATTAAAAAAAATATTTTGTGAATTAAAGTTTTTTTACAGATTTAAGACTGTTCCGTTGTTCATTTTTAAATAAACGAAACCTATAAGAATTATGCTAAACCCTATTTTGGAGATACAACACATTTGGATATTGGGTAAATTAAAAACAAAATAGGTACAGAAAAAGGGTATATAAAGACGAAATGCAGTGATTAAAGAAACACAATAAAAAAAAATTCTCATTCAATTATTGAGGTTTTCCAGAGATAAATTCTCTGCAATATGTAATATACTTTTTTCTTTTTAATAACGAAGAAATGATTAAGTTTAACTATTATTTAACTATTATTATTTTATATATAAATAACAAACTAAACAAAGAATTACAATTATATAAAAAATAATTTTAATTGTTTGTTATATATTATTTATATATAATAAATCTTTTAACTCAGTGGGCACAAGACGTGTCTTAAACATCGAAAACGTAATAAAACGTTTAAATACGTGTGAGACGTCTTTAATACATCTTGTACCCACTGGGTATTAAAATTCTGCTTAATGAGTTTTATTTAAGGGTATCTTATAATAAACTCTTTCAAAACTTCTCACATAAAACAATGTTTTTGTGGTATGCATGAACCAAACCAAAGAACTTATTTATATCAAAGTCATCTATGATTTTAGGAAACAAACAAGTTACAGCACTGGATAAATCGTTTACAGCCAGTTATATTTTGATGGATAAGGATAAAATAAACTTTCTGTAACGCATTATAGTTTGCATGTTTGCATTATCAGTCTTTTTACCATCTTTTACATGTTCAGTTTTGGTTTTATTCATTAATCTTACTCGCTTGTTAAAATTGTTTCCTTATTGCATACATTAAAAATGTTTCAATATTTATAACATGCATTACAAACTTTCTATGTTTTGTTGTATATGTTTATAATATATTTTTTATAAAATTTGCCTATATTTATAAAACATGCAGTTGGCCTATATTGAGTAATCAATATCATTCTTTATTTTGTTCCTACAGTAATGTGAGATTACCCTTTCGTACAGGTAGTTATATTTTTATTACATTTGTCAAAGTAAAAAAATCTCTGGTAACTAATATTCAATGTCGAAAGATTTCCAAATTGAAAATCTAAAAACTTTATACTTTGTATAAGATACATAGAAGCTTTAATAAAAATAGTTTTTTTTTTCCTTTGAATTGTCACTATTAGATGTATGACACGTTTTAAACAAGATTTTCTGAACTTTCTGAACAGAAACTATTTAACAGTCACTACCAATTATCGTCCACAAGTTATCAAATATTTATTGTTGCTTAATCTCAAATATATTTGCAGAACATTTTAATGTATAATTTTTTAGTGTTATGTTTTTTCTGGCACTTTTTATTCTTTCGAAATTTTTTTAACTTTTAATTTTTCTTAAATTTTTTTCTTCAAGTTGTTGTATAAACTTTACTTTTCATTGATAATTTTTATTGTGTGGTGTGATATAAATGATAATCCAAATGAACTTAACAAGATCATGGTTTTAAAAACTTACATCAAATATTTGACAAATCATCTTGAGATATTTTTTATTACATTGTAATGGATTTTTTTTCTAACATTGTAATGGATTATTCTTTATTATATGGTAATGGATTATTTTTTATTACATTATAATGGATTATTTTTAGTCAAGAAATGAACTTTGTTTGGTTTAGACAAAGTCTTATTTTTTTATCTACATTTTTAGTTGTCATTTCGAAATCAACAAAAACAACAATTTAATGCTGCTCAAAGCTGTATTTTGTAAATATCAAAGCTGCAATCTGTGTCAATTGGAGACAAAATAAGATATTATTCTGAAATTCATTAAGAAGATAGAACAATTTGATATGGCATGCAACGCATGTTAAACTTTTAAAGTATATTTTTATTGAAGTAAAGTAGAACAAAAAAATGCAGAATTATTCCAAAAGATAAAAACGTCAAATTTTTCAAAAATTGGAGATAGAACTAGATAATTCTATTGTCACGAAATGTTTATCATTCTGAATGTGTTATATTCAGAAAAATTTATTTTTTAGCTTTTTAAATACAAAAATAAAAAATCCCTCCTACAAAAATTGAGATAATAGCAAGATTAATTTCTTTATAGGTTTATAAAAGATTATTTTGAATGGAGAAAACATTATACTTTATGAATGCAGCTTGAAGGTCGATACGCTGAGCTTGTTAAATAACAACTAAAAAACTTTTTCATGCAGTAGTTTTGTTCTTTGAGGTTTTTGTTTGTCGCTAAACAGTTAAGATAGGGAACCAACAAGTAAGCCAAGGTCAGCAACAAATTAAGTCAAGGGCCAACAAGTTAAGTCAAGAAACTTCCTTGACTTAAGTCTCTTCCTTTAGAGATGCGAATAACATTAAAAAAAAAATAAAAATAATAACAACAGAAAAATAGTAACTGGAGTGGTGGACAGTTGGGTTGCAATTGTTCATGAAAGTTACACATATAGTGTTCTAAAACCTCTGGTTCTCGATATAGTGTTCTAAATTTGCATATAATGTTTTAAAACCTCTTGCTCAATTAGTACTCAAAACTTGCAAAAGTGGCTGCTTTAGCAAGTTTTGAGCCATCTTTACATAAACTTTATTTAAACAAAAAGAGTTCTACAATTGCTTTGGACAATAATTAATAAAATGATAATTAACATGTTTCCATGACAACAACTTCCTCTTTAAACTCACTTCTACTTCTATATATGATCTTCTTTCTCAAAAGTATTTATTCAAAAATGGCAAACCTTCACCAGAATGGTGGTATGATTTTAAAAAGAAAAATAAAGTACCATTATGATTTAATCTTTAAGTATTAAATAATGTCCATTAAATCTTTAATGCAATGTTATTAATGTATGTGATGTAATATATTAAAATTTTATTTGTTCATTTACTATATTCTTGTGCTTCAGATATAATTGACAGTTATTTAACAGCTACATATTGAAGCTAAAAAGATGTGCACTGTCAGTGGACTCTCAGACTTACAGGGAACAATGAAAAAATTACTTATATTATTTAAAGATGGTTCAACTGGCAGAGGATATACAAGATCAGATTCAGAAAAAAATTTTAATTTATTGAATGATTAGAACAGCTATTATTTCCAGCAGTTAAAGCAATTGACTGAGATTTTTATATTAGATGGTCAAATCACATTTGTCATTGCACAGTGGTCTAAATGAAGTACAAAATGAAAAAATATATATTTTGGAAATTTTAATGAATAAACTCAAATTTACTTCCTTTCTTTTGAAAAATTGATTGAAAAAGTTTTTTAAATCAATTTTTCAACCCTAGCTTCAATACAACATAAATTTTTATTTCTCTATTATTATTATTATTTAAAACTAAGTAATCTCTTAAATTGAAAAGCACAGTGTTTAATTCAACATAGAAAAACATAGAAAATACATAGGTGAAAGATTTAACTGGATTTAAGATTTGTGTCTTTGCTTAACGATTATTCAAATTTTGTCGAAAATTTTAAAAAACATCAAAAATTTGGCACAAAAACTTTCAAAAAACATTTGAATATAATTATCGAACAAACCACAGAATGTGTAAAAAAACAAACAAACACAGGATGTGTGTTAAACAAACCACAGAATGTGTGAAAACAAAACACAGAATGTGTGTAAAACAAACCACAGCATGTGTATAAAAAAGCAAACCACAAGATGTGTGTAAAAACATGTATAAAACAAGTATGTGGTACATATGAGAAAAATTGTAAACAAACAATGTGCATGTATATCTTTTTATTTTATTTTATTTAATTTTACCTTTCCTAGTCACTTTTAATAAACCTAATTGCTCTAATTTTCGAAGACCATCTTGAGCATCGAAGTCTAATTGAATATGAAACTCTTTAAAAAACCAACTCTCAATAGACAATTCTAGATCTTGCACAGTAATCCCTAGCTCTGTTTCTGAAACTGGTTTTGAATCTAAAACAAAATCCAGAAATAATAATATTTTGTATGAACGTTTCAAAAAGTTTAGCAAAATAATTGAAAAGGAACTTGCCAACATGTAAAACTTATTAAACACATTAAAACGCTTTAAAAACTTAAACATTAAATATTTGGCATTTTAAACTACATTTTGAATTAATGCCGGGTGATGAGAAAAAATATATATTACTTATGTAAGAGCCCTAACAGAAATAAAAGTTTTAAATAAAAGTTTGTGCTATTTATAAATCACTTTGTAGTTTACATATAGTTTACATTATTTAGGAAGAACAAATTGTTTAAAGAAAAAAAAGAAAAAAGAAAAAAAGAAATTTAGTCAGCCAAACAACGGTTTTTACCAATTAATTAAAAACTAATGACATGAAAAACTAATTTATTCAAATAGCATTGAAAAATAATAGTTAAATAAGGAGCTAATTGGTTCTCCCAAACTTCAACTTTACATGACCAATCAAAAAAAAAGTAAATAAATCCAATATCCAAAATCAATCCAAACCAAGTAAATTTGTTTCAATTTTAATTCATCTTTACATTTAAATGCAATTGAGCATTTGAACAATTGAGAAAAAAAATTTTCTTTTGCAATAAACTTTAATTCTCTTATGAAGAATATCTGGAGAATCTTTGAAGAATATCTGGAGAATCTTTGAAGAATATCTGGAGAATCTTTGAAGAATATCTAGAGAATCTTTGAAGAATTCTGGAGAACCTTTGAAGAATATCTGGAGAATCTTTGAAGAATATCTTGAGAATCTTTGAAGAATATCTAGAGAATCTTTGAAGAATTCTGGAGAATCTTTGAAGAATATCTGGAGAATCTTTGAAGAATTCTGGAGAATCTTTGAAGAATATCTGGAGAATCTTTGAAGAATTCTGGAGAATCTTTGAAGAATTCTGGAGAATCTTTGAAGAATATCTGGAGAATCTTTGAAGAATTCTGGAGAATCTTTGAAGAATATCTGGAGAATCTTTGAAGAATTCTAGAGAATCTTTGAAGAATATCTGGAGAATCTTTGAAGAATTCTGGAGAATCTTTGAAGAATATCTGGAGAATCTTTGAAGAATTCTGGAGAATCTTTGAAGAATATCTGGAGAATCTTTGAAGAATTCTGGAAACTTTTGAAGAATCTTGAACTGTGTCAATAACACAATCATACAACAAATCTTGAATTGTTTTAACGGCTAACAATCCTTCCCTCATGCATGGGTCTCACCATCCCAGAGAAACAGGATAATTCATTGATAGACATCTAAATCACTCCAACTTGTTTTGCTGAAGTTATTTTTGATATAGTATTCTCATGTGATCTTCTCCATAAACTTCATATGTTGTATTTGAGGAAGCTTTTTAAATTATTTTACCATTTCTTTATGATTTTTTACTTCAAGCAATCTCTAGGGTACAACAAAGTTCAATCCTTAGCCTTGTATTGTTTTTCAACAATATTAAAAATCTTTTTAAAAAATCCTACCTCTTATGTATCTGGCAATAATTAAATACTTCAGTTTTGAATGTGATCTTTTGTCAGTGACAACTTGACGATTGTCATTGTCTTATAATTTTCAACTCAAAAAAAAACAAACAAAAAAACTGTTAACTACTAATAACTATTGCAATACTGATGATATTCTTATATTGATGGCAACACTCTGAGTCCTCTGTTTTATGCTTCTAGGATCATCACTCTGAGTCCTCTGTTTTATGTCTTCTAGGTTCATCACTCTGAGTCCTCTGTTTTATGTCTTCTAGGATCATCACTCTGAGTACTCTGTTTTATGTCTTCTAGGATCATCGCTCTGAGTCCTCTGTTTTATGTCTTCTAGGATCATCACTCTGAGTCCTCTGTTTTATGTCTTCTAGGTTCATCACTCTGAGTCCTCTGTTTTATGTCTTCTAGGATCATCACTCTGAGTCCTCTGTTTTATGTCTTTTAGGATCATCATTCTGAGTCCTCTGTTTTATGTCTTCTAGGATCATCACTCTGAGTCCTCTGTTTTATGTCTTCTAGGATCATCACTCTGAGTCCTCTATTTTATGTCTTCTAGGATCATCACTCTGAGTCCTCTGTTTTATGTCTTCTAGGTTCATCACTCTGAGTCCTCTGTTTTATGTCTTCTAGGATCATCACTCTGAGTCCTCTGTTTTATGTCTTCTAGGATCATCACTCTGAGTCCTCTGTTTTATGTCTTCTAGGATCATCACTGCTCACCTCTCATGGAAACCATAGATACTCTTTATGATATCTTGACTCATACAAATAAAAGTTTTTTTAAGTCTTCTATTAAATACTTTTATGTTCTTTAACTTTCTTTATTTGATCCTTTACTGATTTCTAGCCTAAGTGACCTAGTAAATCACAGACTACATAAAATTTTTAATCAAAATTATGTTAAAATTATTTACAGTTGCATGCCAAATATGAAATCAATAATAAATGTGCATAATCGCAAGATTTTGGAATATGAAAAAAATATAAAATCAAAACTATGCAACAGCATAGAAAAAGTAATTAGTCCATTGAACAACTGATTGCTTTTCAGCAACACTGTCTACTAAGCTACTGTAAACTCCAAAGATCCTGAACTTAGAAGCTTTATTTCTGTATTATAAGAACCCTAATTAAATCAACATACACTAATCATTAAAAATAAAAAAACACACAAAAAAATAGGGAAAATAAAATCCCAAAACACAAAACTTTTATAAAACCTGTATGGAAAATAATCAAGTAATGCAAACCCTCTTAGCTGGCACAAAACGTTCCTTGGACATCTTAAGGATGAACTTGTATGAACTTGTGACATGTATAAAACTTATACAGTACTGTAAAAAACTTTTTAATCGAAAAAAATTTATATATATAAGTGTCAACATCTAAAAAAATTCTTATTTAACATCCACTCCTTTTCAGACATTCAAATTAAAAGTTGAATTATTAAAAATTTCTAAGCTTTACATTTAATTTAAACAAGTTTTCATAATTTAAATTGTATTTAATGGCTAATGATCACAGGAAAGGCAAAAAACTTAAAATTCCATAAATAAAGATGTTTTACATTTTAAGGGGGACCTGAGCAACAGTTATAAGTTGATGAACTGCATTTATCTTCAGAGCCTTTCATCAAAAGTATATTAGGCTGTCCCAAAACATTAGGTAAAATTTTTTTTGTTGAAAATGTTAAGTCTCACCCTCCTAAATGTTTCTTTATGGTCCCATGATATCACCTGCAAAATTTTATAAAATTCAAATTATAATTAAATAAAATTTTATTGTTGGTGTAAATAGAGTACAATGCATTAATTTCTGTGAAAGGTTTATGAAGTTGTTATTCAACATATGGATTCTACACAGGCTTTACTCAGGCTTGGTCGAGAAGCGGATGCGATAATTGACTGTGCAAATAATATTTAGTTGCATAGTCAAAAACCGGCTAGATTTTTGTTCAAAAAATATGCTGACTAAGCGAAATAAAGTTATAGAGTATTCTGTTGAAATATTCTTAAAAATTGTATTATTTGAGTTTAGTTAAGTTTTCGTTGAGATTTCTAGGATAAACTGCTTTAAGAATAAATTATCTAACAAACAATTTTTTTAATACTATGGCTCATTCTTGTAAGCACATCAATAATCTTATTAATCTTACTAATTTTAACTATAGTATGTAAAAATTTTTTTAATATAACCTTAATTATTTTATTTTTTTACAGAAAGATCAGTAAAAATGCCAAACACTAGAGTGACACGAAGCAAGGACAGTATTTGGTTGTTAGGGCATCCTTCTGAGACAATTCACAGGGGCATGTCTTCCAGCTGGACGAGATGTTATGAAGAGTTTTTTTTTTTTCACTGTGTACAGAAGTTGCCTGTTGCAGACAGTGCACACCAAGAGCATGACCAATTAATGCCATTCTGGACAAAGTTACAGCTACTCGTTTGCCAGAAGCAACACATCATTCAGAAAATTAAAGATCTGTATAGTGAGCAACAACATTTGATGAGCTCTCGGGCCAGGAGTAATGAGAAGGATAAACAGAATCAAAAACAGTACACTGAAAAACTGGATAACTTGTTTGATATCAGCCATGCAAATGCAGCTCAGCTAATCAGTAATGAGAAAGATAGAGTGTTTTTATAATTGCAACAAGAATCTAGAACTGGTTGTATTAGACCAGTTGACAGAAAGCTCTTGGGTTGAGAGTAGCGCTCTGCAAAACGTCAGGAACAGTTTGCCAAGCAAGTTGCATCAGCGGCAACAGCAGCCACATCAAGTCAGGAGATGGATTGTGCATCATTGTTAGACATTGAAAACAGCTTGTCAGAAGATGACAATGATGACTTTGTAGTTACAACGTCAAGCAGGAGCAGTACTGCTAAGAAAAAAAATGTCAAGATGTTCTTTCACCAAAGATAGCTGCAGTTCTTGATAGGACAAACCTCAGCATTCGAACATCAACCATGATTCTAGCTTTAATGGTGAACGAAGCAGGATGTTCAACATCATCTTCAGTTCTGTCAAAGAGCACAGTTCACCGAAAACGTCAACATTTACGTTGTAAGGCTGCTCAACAATTTAAAAATAACTTCATTCCTTGCAAGTCAGTTGTACACTGGAAAGGGAAGTTGACGTCTGATTTAACTGGTGATGACACTAATCAGGTGGATTGCTGACCTACTTTGATGTTGCCTCTTGTTGATGGCAGTATCAAGCTCTAGGAGTGTTAAAATCGACATCTGGTTCTGGTCAGACTGCAGCAGATGCAGTTTATAAATAGTTGGTGTCGTGGAAATGTGAAAATCTTATTACCAGTATGTGCTTTGACATGACTGTGTCATATAAAAGCAAACACAAAGGAGCTTGCACACTGTTGGAGGTTACTGTTGGACATAATCTGCTATGGTTAACATGCAGACACCACATGCTTGAAGTCCTACTCTCAGATGCATTTGGCTTGTGTTTTGGACCAGGCCTGATACACTCATCTTCAAGAGATTTTGTGATTAGTGGTCTATAATTCATCACATTCCATTAGATTGCCAAGCTCCTTTGATTAATGATCATGATGACCTAAAGACCTTTATTAAAAGACAGTTAAATCTTGAAAGTCATCAAAGGCATTACTATTTTTAGCTTCTTTGCCTTGCTGGTGCAATGCTTGGTATGCAGACCAACACCACAATACGGCAGCCTGGTGCACTGCACCGAGCACACTGGATGGCAAAGGCCATCTACATTCTTAAGATGAAACTTCTGTTTGACAGTAATGAAGATGTTCTCAAGCTAATGGCACAAGAACTCCACAATTTAATAGATTCGTTGTTTGTGTATATCTCCAATCATGGTTCATCAGCAGAATTGCTATTGATGCGCCAATCAATTACATTTTGCTTATACAACGACTGAATGAATATGAAGATTTGGCTTTGCAGACAATTGGACTGAAGATGATGAAGCATCATTCCCGGTATCTAGGCCAGGAGATGGCAACACTTGCTCTTTTTTCGAAATGTCCGTCTCCTCCACTTGAGAAAGCACACCATGTTCTGAAAATAAAAACAGTTTTTGGTGAACTTTTACTTACATCATTGCCAAGCAACTTATCAGAACTATCAATGTCTTGCAGCTTCTTTCAAAGTGCTGGTATAGACAACAGTTTCCTTGAAGTGGATGTAGAAACCTGGGTGAATGTTGCATCATTCAAGATTGTAAAATTAGTTGTAAAAAATGAGAATACCAAAAATGAGGAACAAAAACAGTATTTGCTGTAAGTGGTTGAAAAACACAGAAATGACTTCAAACACTGCAGACGTGACAATCTTGTAGATATGTAGACATTTATATTATTCAAAAAGCAAATAACATTGTAAATATGTGGAAAATGTTCTGTAACTGAGCATTAGTTATTACACATTTTTTATGATTTTGTCTAAAAAACTGTTTTGAACCCTACCAGTTAATGCAGTAAAACATGTGAAGAATCTACACATTGAGATCTTTTTAATGTTCTTTTTTAAGATCTGTGTTTTTAACATCTGGCTAAAAAACATCACCAATGCTGGGTGATGTTTTTAGTATCACTAATTAGGTTTATCTCATATCTAAAAATTAGGTTTATCTTATTAGTTTCATCTCATTAATTTCAGAACATGGTGTGCTTTCTCGAGTGGAGGAGACAGACATTCCGAAAAAAGAGCAAGTGTTGCCATCTCCTGGCCTAGATACCGGGAATGATGCTTCATCATCTTCATATATATATATATATATATATATATATATATATATATATATATATATATATATATATATATATATATATATATATATATATATATATATATATATATTATCTAATTAGGTTTATCTCATATCTAAAAATAAAAGTTCCAACAGCAAAGCCGTTGGAACTTTTATTTTAAAATTTATCTGCAGATAATGATACTAAACCAAGTTGAAAAGTAATACGTTAAAAAACCAAGATAAGTTGAATAGCAACTTCATAAACCTTTCATGAAAATCAAAGCCCTCTATTTACGCTAACAGTTAATAATTTCAAGGACCTGAATTACTAAATATTATCCAAATTTTATAAAAATTTTGCAGGTGATATCATGTGATCATAAAAAAACTTTTAGGAGGGTGAGACCTAACATTTTCCAAAAAAAAATGTTTGGGACACCCTAATATATATATATATATATATATATATATATATATATATATATATATATATATATATATATTCAGATTTAAACTCTACATTAAGCATAGAAAAAGTATAAAAGAAGGTAGTTAAATTATTTTTTACAGATCCAAGAGCCAATATTTTATATATATTTAGTGTTTCTTGAACAAAAACAGGGATGTGAAGTTAAATGTAAAGTTAAAGATTAATCCAAATCCTCCGTTATTGCTGACAGATTCATTCATGCTCACTGAATGAATCTGTCGGCAAAAAGTCTCATATCTAAAAGCATCTCTATGCTAATGAAATAATTTTTATTAGCATAGAGATGCTTATAGATATGAGACATTTTGTCCCTCTTGTAATGTTCAGATATTCACGCCTTGAGATAGTCAGTAGTTTTGCCTATATAAAAAGAGTTACATCCTGTATATAGGAATTTATAGACCACAAATGATTTGAACTCTAAAGGAATAGGATCTTTAAAAGAAAAGAATTTACAAATCTTTAGTGAGGTAAATATCAATTTAACATTTGCAGAATGGCAATATCTTTTAACAATTGAATTCAGTCTTTTTTTTAGTTGAATCAGATATTTTCCTCAAAAATGGTAACAACTATTTGTGTTGAAAGATGACAAAGTAAACTTTATGTAAAAACCATTGAATTAATTGACCAAGTAATTAAATTTTATTGTTTTTTAAAAAACAACAAAAACGCAACTTATGCAATGCAATGCAAAAGAATGTCAAAATGAAAAGAATGCTGTTTGTTTGTTTAAAAAAAATATAAACATTCTGAATGTTTTTTTTTTTACTGTGTTTATTATTTATTTCATTTGTTTTATTAAATTATTTTTCTTTTTTTTTATCAACTATTTTGTTTAGGGATTAGCACAGCGGAGTGAAAAATATGTGAGAAAAATATGTACATACATAGACTGAAAAATAGGTAAAATATGTGAAAAGTGTACATTCGTTGACTGAAAAATAGAACATACAAGGAGTGTATATACATTAACTGCAAATAGGTAAAACATGCGAGGAGTGTACATACATAGACTGAAACATAGGTAAAACATGTGAGGAGTGTACATATATTGACTAAAACATAGGTAAAACATGTGAGGAGTGTGCATACATCGACTGAAAAATAGATAGAACATACAAGGAGTGTATATACATTAACTGCAAACAGCTAGAACATACTGCTACATGGATCGACAATTAGGTAAAACATGCAAGGAGTGCCGCTACATTGACTGAAGGTTTGGTTTAAGGTTAGGGTTTTGTTTACATTTTATAAGAAAAATTAAAGATACATATAATAAACAATTAAAAATACATATAATAAAAGTTAACTATTTAAAAAACTAACCTTTCATGTTTTGGATAAATATGTAACATAATAAAGTAGATTTTAAAATTTCATTAACGGCAGAATCTGTTATTAATTGCAATATATTTTTATTAGTTGCTAATGTTTTATAATATAGTATTTTTGATGTATTATTCAAGTATTGATTTCTTTTTTTTACATATGAATTCCAAGTATGTAAAGTTAACAATCCAGATACGCTTCCAACAATAAAAGTCCATTTAGCATTATAGTCTATAAAGATAGTACATAATTTAATCAGAATACTCAAACCACAAGCTGATGCAAATGTTGTAATAAGCTTTTTATCATTTATTGACATGGTAATACTAGCTTCAGGTAAAACATACTCTATACTGGACTGTGGTAAATCTTTGAAAGATTTAAAAAGAAGTTTATTTTGCTTTTTAAGTCGAACTGCAATTACTACACGATTATATATTGAAATGGCTTTTGGCTGCTTTTTGAACATGTTCATAAAAAAATATTTCATTGTGTCTCTCCACCCATGAATTAAAGACTGTTCTTCTTCACCCAAAATCCAAATTCGAAGAACATCATACTGATTTAAATCAATATGAATAAGAACACCCTCAGAAACTGGGTGTTTACCAAGAGTGTATGGTATTTGATCATGTGTTAATTCTTGGAATTTAGCCATTTGTAAAAGTGAAGCGACCTTTTGTAATAAAACGAACTCATTATCCAAGTGTTGTTTTTTCCCAACATGAAACTCTGAAACAGACTCTTTATCAGGATTTAGAGATACATACAATTGCTAGATAAAATAGTTATAATTTATAACATATGATTATATATGTATACAATTTTATATATATATATATATATAATATATATATAAATATATATATATACATATATATATATATATATATATATATATATATATATATATATATATATATATATATATATATATATATATATATATATATATATATATAATATATATATATATATATATATATATATAATATATATATATATATATATATATATATATATATATATATATATATATATATATATATATATATATATATATATATATATATATATATATATATACATATATATATATATACATACATACATATATATATATATATATATATATATATATATATTATATATATATATATATATATATATATATATATATATATATATATATATATATATATATATATATATATATAATTTATTCATTAAAAATCAATGCAGAAATTTTATTTACTAATATATACATAAATACTGTTTATCAAAAGTATATATATATATATATATATATATATATATATATATATATATATATATATATATATATATATATATATATATATGTATATATATATATATATACTTTTGATAAACAATATTTATGCATATATACATATTATATATATATATATACATAAATATTGTTTATATATATATATATATATATATATATATATATATATATATATATATATATATATATATATATATATATATATATATATATATATAGGTCTCTCTCATTTACGGGAGCAATTTACGGCTCTCGCAAAAGTATAACTATAAACCACTATTGATTAGAAGTATTAAAAATTTATCTTCAAACTTTTTTTTTTTAATTTTTTTATTTTATTTCACCTCTTCAAGGCCGAGAAGGCCACTACAGACAAGGAGGCTACTTATTTTGTGGCTATAACCCTCTCTCAACTCTATAACTCCAAAACACGAACCTTGACGAACAAGGCCGCTGCGCGGAGAAACGAGTTTAGCGCGGTACTACCAGGGACGTGGTGGGGATTGAACTCGGAACCACTCGTTTATGAAGCGAGCGCTCTACCACTACACCACTACCGCATATCGAATGATATGCAAACTACATTGAATAAAAAAGACAAAGTTTGAGTTTCAGATTCATTTTTTTTTGCTTACAAAATGTGATTGTTTATTTATTTTACGTAACAGGTAATAATTATTTGTAGTGCTTGAGATTATATTTTAACTATACAAGTGGCTCACAACTTATCGACATTATAATATAAATTATTTTATACTGCAACAATTGTTTTGTTTTTGGTAAAGCAGAAATTCTGTATTAATAATGTGAATAAATATTACATAACTATAATACAAATTTATAGTAGAACTAGTGAAAAAAATAATGTATTTTTTATTTCAAACACAGATGCAGTGCAGAGAGATTTTTTTCCTTTAAATCTGTGGTGTGAAATACCGAGTATTATTACTATAACATTAACAACAATATGGTCAAGTTTGCTAAGTTATTAACTTAGCAAACTTGACCATATTGTCGTTATTTGTCGTTGACCATATTATAAGTTATAAGTGATGACCTCATCTGTAGAACAAGTTTGCTTAACATCAGTTGTTGCAATTTATTTGTGTGTTGCATACTGCTGGAAATTAAAACTGATTAAAGCATTTCCACTTTCAATTTCAGTGAGAGGAACATCAACATCATTGAGAAACTTTTTGTTTTTGAAAAGAATATCTAGTTTTCCATTTAATGAGATAATCGATGGACTGTTCCTTTGTTAAGTTTGCCATTTTTTAGATTTTTGTACACATTTGGTAGTCTAGACACAATAAATAAACAATTTTCAAAATAAATTCAAAATTTTAATTTTTGTTTAAAAATAATAGAATATTGTTGAAACTGCCTAACTGGCCAGACTATCCCTTTGCATAGGTACATTTGTTTTAACCTTTAAAAGTACATCTTTTACACAAATCTTGTGGTAGATTTTTTTGATGTTTTAACTTTTTGATTTTCATTCTGTAAAAACCTTGTGGTACATGTTTAATAATTTAAAACTTCACTAAATTTTTTTGTTTCTTTTAATTTTGATTTTTCTTTTTTCTACTGTTTCATTAAGTTTTAATTTCTAGTTTTTGTTTATAAATTCAGTTTTAGTTTTATTCTGAGGGTATATATATATAAAAGCACGGTTTTTAAAAAAATAAAAATAAAAATAAAAAAGAGCGGCAATTTAAATGAGGAACAGCTCACACAGCTCCCCAAGTTCGTTTTAGGAGATCTTTTCTCTGCTCTTGTGCTAACTTATTTCCGCCGAGTCCTGTATATATATATGTATATATATATTCTATTGTCTACTATATTGTTGTTAATGTTATAGTAATAATACACGGTATTTCACACCACGGATTTAAATTAAAAAATCTCTCTGCACTGCATCTTTTTTTTTTTTTTTTTAATTATCTTCGCATCCAACAAGGTTGCAAGCAACCACTAATTAGTGTTGGAAGTTACTGGAAGAGAAAAGATGAAGATTGTAGAGCAAGATAACGATTGACAGACAACTTAAAATATTGCAAATTATATGAATCAGGAAAGCAAGATGAAGGAAGCGAATTCCAAAGAACTGATGTTCGAGGAAAAAAACTAGACGAATAAGAGTTTTTGGAGCACTTAGGAACAGTAACAGAAAAAGGATGAGACTTGATTGAATGACGAGTAACACGAGAATGAATTTTAGTAGATGGCACAAGAGACGCTAGCTCTTTAGAGCAGTGCCCATTATAGTATTTGTAGAAAAGAGAAAGAGAAGCAACATTACGACGATGTGACAGAGGTTGAAGGTTGGCTGCAAGAGCAGGTCCAACTATGTTTACAATGCGTTTTTGCACCTTGTCTAAAATAGAAAGGGCATCATTAGAAGAAAAATCCTTTTCGAGCTCAGATGCCCCCTGCAAGCAATCAGAGGGAGTTAGCTTCTTATCGTGACAAGAATAAATGGTAGTATCATCAGCGAACGATGCCACCTTAGATGGGAGAATATCTGGAAGATCATTAATGTAAATTAAAAAGAGTATAGGGCCAAGGATTGAACCTTGGGGAACCCCTGAGGTTACAGAATAAGAAGAAGAGTGCTGTCCATCAAGGACAACTTTTATACTACGATTGGAAAGAAGGGATTCAATAATCTTAAAGATGTTTCCAGATACACCATAAGAAGAAAGCTTATGGAGGAGACCAGCATGCCAAACTTTATCAAACGCTTTAGAAATGTCAAGAGCGATGGCCTTAACCTCTCCACCTTTATCTAATGCGCGATAAAACCTATCGGTTATTACTGATAGCAAATCAGCCGTAGAACGAGAAGATCAAAATCCATACTGATGATCAGAAAGTAGGTAATGAGATTCGAGATTAAGTGTTTGTTAATTAAAGATTCAAAAACCTTGCTTATGATAGGACGAAGATTCAAGATGAGAGATTAAGTGTTTGTTAATTAAAGATTCAAAAACCTTGCTTATGATAGGACGAAGACTAATGGGACGGTAGAGTATTCTATGTATTCTAATGTATTCTAAATGAGATTCAGGACAAAGTGAAGAAGAGTCTTAGCGAGAAATCACTTTAGATACAGAAGCTGGAGTGATACGAATATGTTTGAAAAGAAAAATACATTATTTTTTTTACTAGTTCTACTATAAATTTGTATTATAGTTATGCAATATTTATTCACATTATTAATACTAAAATTCTGCTTATTATATATATTATAAATATATATAATAAGCAGAATTATATATATTTATAATATATATAATAAGAAAAGTAACTTTTTTTTTTTTTTTTTGTTAAAAAAACTAAATAATTTTTTTTGCTTTTACAAGAGAACCCTACCTACCAAAACCTTGTAAAAAAGAAACACTGATTAAAATAAATTATTTTATACCAAAAAAGGTTTTTTAAAAGTTTGCGGCTATGAAAATACCAATTTTTTTATTTTCTTCTTTCGATATGTTTAATTTTTGTTCAAATTTCGGCATGTTATTCTCTCTTTGATAAAAACCTTTAGTTGCTATTATTGGTTTGAAGGGACATTGATTTTTTATTGCATTGTTATTATAGTCCATGTAGAAATGATTTTTTTTTTCTTCCTATTGCTCGTTGTTGGCTAATTTTCTAACGAGTCTTGATATAGCTGTTCAGTTAAAACATATTGGATACCAATATATGAAGTGGTATTTAACTAAATCAATAACTGAAACAGTGATATTGATCCCTTTATAAGTTTTGATAAGATAAAAGCATATTCTTTTAATCGGCCTTAATAAAATTTCCAGGTCTTTGACTTATAGAAAATTTCCAACCTTCCAAATATTTAAAAAAAATTTCAATTAAACATATGAGTCTTTCATCTTTCATCATTTAAAATGACTTGAAAAACCAATTTTGTTTTCTATTGCAATCTACACTATTGTATTCTAAATGAGATTCTAATGTTTTTTGTTTTTTTTTAACATCTTTGCTTCAAACAAGGCAGCAAGCAACCACTAATTAGTGTTGGAAGTTATTGGAAGAGAAAAGATGAAGGTTGTAGAGCAAGATAACAATTGACAGATGATTTAAAAGATTGCAAATTATATAAATCAGGAAAGCAAGATGAAGGAAGCGAATTCCAAAGAACTGATGTTCGAGGAAAAAAACTAGACGAATAAGAGTTTTTGGAGCACTTAGGAACAGTAACAGAAAAAGAATAAGACTTAATTGAATGACAAGTAACACGAAAGTGAATTTTAGTAGATGGCACAAGAGACGCTAGCTCTTTAAAGCAGTGCCCATTATAGTATTTGTAGAAAAGAGAAAGAAAAGCAACATTACGACAATGTGACAGAGATTGAAGGTTGGCTGCAAGAGCAGGTCCAACTATGTTTACAATGCGTTTTTGCACCTTGTCTAAAAGAGAAAGCATCATTAGAAGATCCGCC